CTTTTAAACTTCTGGTTTGCAGGACGGTGTGCGAGTTCTGCAATCGCACTGATTCCATCAGTTTCGTGGTGTGTGCGGCTGCGGCTGCGGTGGTGGCCGCGTGAGAGTGAGTGAGAGAGCGCCATGCACCGCCCGCACACACACTCGTCTTTCACCCACTCTCTGTGTGTGTCCCCTTGCATGGACTCTCGCCCTCACCTCATCCCACGAAGCACACACATAATGTGCCCATTGTATATATTGCATGCACACCCATGCAGGCCCGTTGGTGCTCTCTTTTGCACGACACGCACCGCTGCCGTCCTGCCTGACTGCATGGGCGGAGCACCGTAACTGTTTCTGTTTTGTTTTTATTGCATTGAGTGGGCAACCTCTCTCTCTCTCCCTGTGTGTGTGTTTTGCTTTACGGGAGCAATGAGAGTGTGTGCGCTGGTCGTCCCACGCTTCGGCTTTTTGTTTTGTTTTTCATTGTTTTGTGGTTGAGAGCACCCATTCCGCGGGCTGCGTGTGTGTGTTTGTGTGTGATGATATGAGTAATTTGTGCGTGTGTGCTATCTGCCTCTCTCTGCCGTTGCTTTCTTCTGACTCTCTTGTGGCGCACAGCTGCTCTGCAATTATAGGCGCTGCCAAACACACAAGCACATGCACACACATGCCGTGTTTAAAACGCTGAGAATGCACGCACGCACAGGATTGTGGCTGCGGAGGCCCTCGCGAGGGGCGAAGAAGCCTGCGTTTTGTTTTTTTGACATGTTGCTCGGTGTGTGCTGACGCGTGACGAATAACAACACGCCCCAATAAGCAGAAAAGAAGTAAAACAAAACGGCACTGAGCGGCACACCGGTAAGCCAAAAATACGCAATCACCAATAAAAAAGCCGGCGATCACCCAGCAGTCACATCAAGCCTCCTAAAACCAACCTGGAATAGACAAAAAAAGGGGGCAATCATAGAAAACAAAGATCCGCCCCCCCAAACAGGAAAAGCATTAAAAAAAACGCGATCCTATTTTTTGTCCTTACTGCCGGGGTTGGCCGCCGCAGGGAATAAAAAAGAGTAGGGCGGTGGCCCCGGACGAGAGATACATGACGACGTGTCGAATTATCCAAGTTGCAGCGGCTGCCCCGGACGAGAGATACATGACGACGTGTCGAATTATCCAAGTTGCAGCGGCTGCCCCGGACGAGAGATACATGACAACGAATCGAAGTATCCACGCTGCGGCGACGGCCCCGTACGAGAGATACATGACGACGAATCGAAGTATTCACGCTGCGGCTGCGGCCCCGTACGAGAGATATATGACGACGAATCGAAGTATTCACGCTGCGGCTGCGGCCCCGTACGAGAGATATATGACGACGAATCGATGTATCCACGCTGCGGCGGCGCACCCTAAACATGTCGCTTTCGTTTTCCAGGGGACAACGCAAATGTGCTCGATTGTTCGAAGATCGAACTTAACACCTTACGTGAAAATGGGTCGCGCGACCACATTTTTTTTAGCTCAGTGGCAAAACAAGCTCACAATTTCATCCGGGGTGCGGGTTCGAGCCCCGAAGATGCCTAAGTTTTTTTCCTTTTTTTTTTGGAATTCTTGTTTCTTATTGCTTTTTAAACTTCTGGTTTGCAGGACGGTGTGCGAGTTCTGCAATCGCACTGATTCCATCAGTTTCGTGGTGTGTGCGGCTGCGGCTGCGGTGGTGGCCGCGTGAGAGTGAGTGAGAGAGCGCCATGCACCGCCCGCACACACACTCGTCTTTCACCCACTCTCTGTGTGTGTCCCCTTGCATGGACTCTCGCCCTCACCTCATCCCACGAAGCACACACATAATGTGCCCATTGTATATATTGCATGCACACCCATGCAGGCCCGTTGGTGCTCTCTTTTGCACGACACGCACCGCTGCCGTCCTGCCTGACTGCATGGGCGGAGCACCGTAACTGTTTCTGTTTTGTTTTTATTGCATTGAGTGGGCAACCTCTCTCTCTCTCCCTGTGTGTGTGTTTTGCTTTACGGGAGCAATGAGAGTGTGTGCGCTGGTCGTTCCACGCTTCGGCTTTTTGTTTTTTACTTTATTGTTTTTGAGTCTTTGCTTGTGTTTTAGTCGAGTGCATCCATTACACTTTTTTGATTGGCGGTATGCTTTGACTACGGACAGTTTAATCTTTCTTTGTTATTCCCATATTGTTTTTTATTCTTGTTGAGAAATTGTCAGTGCTTCTTATTCTTGTGAGGCCATTAAGTTTTTTTCACGTGTGCCATGCGTTAGTTGGTCCACTTTAACCCGTGGCTTGCAGCGCTGCTTCTTCTAATTGCGATTATTTTTTTGATGTGTCTTTCCAGCGGATACTTTGCTGTCACCCTGACGCATCCCTGCTTTTTTCTTGACGATTTGGTGCGTACCGACGGCGCGTGGGCGACTCCGGTTGGGGTGAGGGATGTGCTTCTCACAACGCAGGATGCGTCGCAGGAGTACGGCCTCTTTTTGAATAACCAATGGGCGTCCGTCCGCATCAAGACGTCGACAAAAATTCCGGATGACAGCAGGTGGCGCTGCGGCTTTTCCTATCCCTCCAGCAATGACGCCTCACCTTGCCGCGGTGCTGGGGCTCTGGTTGCGTATATCAACTGTGTAGCAGGGCGTTGCTGCGAGCACGACGGAGACCAAGATGACTTCACCCCTCGAGAAGGTTCCGCGCCATGCTCGGTGCGGGGAGGTGAAGCGGTCTGCCTGCAGACTGTCGGACAAAACTGCACGACCGTTTCGCTGCGGTCACTCCGTTGATATCACACGCTGCGGTGGTGTCCACAAGAACCCTGGCACCGAGGAGGATGGCTTCATCGCTCTCTGGGAGCTTAGCATTGCAGGCGTCTCGCCCGTAAAAAGGGTTGCATTTGCTGCGCGACTGGAGCAGCATCCACCTGACATCGTTCTTCTCCATGAAATAAGTAACCGCAGCAACGTAGCGACAACATGCTCTGGACGTAATGATTTCCACCAGGCCGCACTGGGCGCGGTGGTGGCGTTGCCATTCTGGTGCGCCACTCTTTACCGTGCGAGCGCCTGACGCTCCCTGGCACTGATCTTCTGGAGATCATTGCTGTCCGTGTATTTCCACCGGGCTGTCCCGGCATTTGCGTGGCGAATCTCTACAATCCTCCTCCAGCAACTGTTCAAGAATTCGCATTTATTAACATCGTCCGTCGCTTAGGCCCCGCATCGATTATTGCGGGTGAATTGAATTTACATCATGAGCTCTGGGACGGTCATATACCAACAACGACTGGAGGAGAGAAGTTTGCCGCCATTTTAATTGATATGAAGTTTGAGCTGGCAAATGACCTGGCGCAGGCAAAACGCATCACAAATCGTAATGTCTCGTCCCCTGACGTGAATGCGTATCGCGCCCTACGCGTCTCTAGCTGGAAATCCGTTCCCTCCATGGATTCGGACCACTGTTGAATACCTTACTCGGCAGGGATGGATGAGGGCATTCCGCGACTAGCCAACACGCTGCCTCAACGGAAGAAAGCCACCTTTGCTCTGCAAAAAGCGGATTGGCCTGCTTTTACCTCGTTGTGTGAAACACTTCTGGCCACCGCGTCCAAATGGTTGGAAATCCGCAGGGGTGTCTTACGAGCAGCTGAGCGCCATACCCGCGGCAGCCGTGGCAGCTCCAAAAAAGATATGGACACACGAAATGGAACAAGCCGAGTCCGCTGCAGAAGCAGCACACGAAGCACACACATTGCCTCACCAGGAGACAGCCTGCTTCGAGCCGAATTCATCCAAAAAAAGGGAGGAATAAAATCAAGCCTTACGCCGTGGCTTCGCTGTGCTTCTGGGAGCTCGCGCGAAAAAACTTTGAGCTTCATCCAGTCCAAGCTGGCGATGCCTTCGCGGTATGGCGGCGCCGCATCCTTATCCTCTGGAATCGGATGTGCTCCGCACTGATCTTGGCCGCGTTTGCGCCCCGCCTCGGCAACAGGCAAACCTGCTCGTCCTTCATTTTGTACGAGCTTCACGCGCCACTTTACCCTATACTGCTCCTGCACGCCGCGCTCCCTTGCTCCCTGGTGGCTGGAAAATGGATCGGCCCTTCGCGCCGTATGAACTTGACGTGGCCATTCGTGACTCCTCGCTCGGCTCGGCCCCTGGCCCCGACAAAATGTTGAACGAATTTCTGCACCGTCTCGGGCCCGTTGCGCAGCAGACTTATAACGATGCGCCACAACTCCTTCACAAATGGCAGCCTGCCTGGCTCCTTGAAGAATCGAGGACAATATTCGCATTTCCAACCCTGGGAAAGAACCCATGCCACCCAGAGAGTTGCAGACCTATCAAATCACTCTCTGCTTTACTACAATTAACCGAAAGAATGATTCACCGCCGTCTGTCAGCGTTATTGCCACACCACCCACGTCAATTTGGATTTGCACCTTCGCGTTCTACGTCGGACGTGGTGAAACTTGTTATCGATAAATTACTCGTGGATTGAATGAGTTCAGCAGCGTGGAGTATGCGCGCCCTGGAGGCGGCGCCCCCACACGACACCCTCGTCGCCATCGCTCGCTCGTGGTCTTGGTTGATTTTTCGACTGTGTTCGACACCATTGGCCATGGGAAATTATTCTGCATGCTTGACGGACTTCCGCGCCTTGGCCCCGAACCGAACACTGGCTGCACAACTAGCTGCGGGGCCGCCATTTTAAGGTATGCGCTCGCGAACGGCACTCTCGGAAACAACCCACCCCAACTGGAGTACCGCAAGGCAGCGTCCCGGGACCCCAACTCTTCCTCCACCATGTGGATGACCTGCTGCGCCGCCTGGGCAACATCTACTCTGCCTCCGCATTCATGTGCGCTGACGGCCTCGTACTTGTTGCCTCAGGTGCGGAAATCCACGCATGTGCTGCGGCAATGCGACCGGCACTGTCACTTATAACGACATGGGCTACCGAGCACAACCTGAAGATCAGCGCGGACAGGAGCGAGCCGCTCTATTCTGCGAGTCCCCACACCGGCGGTCTGACGAGGACACCGCGGACCGTCGTCTGGGCGATGGAAACCCAGGCTGGAGGTCCCACCCGGTGCGTCTGCCCGGAAATGCGATTGATCGGGCCCTCAATTTTGGTGTGCACGCCACCGCCGCTGCAAGGCAGATCGTGCCACGCCGCCATCAGCCGCGTCTGGCCGCAGAGGCGGGCGCGTCCCACCACACCATGCGATCCTTTTTGGTCGCATACGTTTATAGTGTGCTATTTCATAACGGTGGGGCAATTTTCCCGTACCTCGCTCCCACCTGCCTCCGCAATACGGCGGCACGGTATCGCGGAAGTAGTAAAGCGTCCCTTGGCCCAAGCACACATAGAGAAAATACGTCTTTCTACTTGGAATCCAATCTTCTCCCGCTCCGGAAGATACTTTGGCTCCGTGCAATCACGCAACGCAAACGCTATACACGCCTCCACGACCACGGGGATTTGCGTTCCCTTATCTACTCGGAACCTATGTCGCCTTCCATGCATGGGAAAGCGGCGACATCGACCCCGCTTCCGAAAGATGCCGTTATTACTGAATCACGCCGCGTCTGTAACATTATTGGGATACCCCACAACCACAATCGTGCTCCTTCTATTCAACATCGAATTTTTCCCTGGCACAATGAGTTGCAACAAAGTGTATTTTTACCAGCCACGCTTTGCCAAAGACGCCTCTGACGATGTCAAGCACACGGCTTTTGATTATTTTTATTTCCCTGGGAGATTACGATTTTGAATTATGGACGGTCGCTTCTTCATCTCTCGCTGAACTCGCATCCGGATCCGCTGCGCTATTATGCGGCTCCACAAAGACAATTGATGTCCCTGTGGAGGCCCATCGTGCAGCGGCTGGAAGGCTCGCATGCTCATAGAGAGCCGAGTGCCTTGCCATTGAAAATTGGTTTAGACGTCTCATACTTTCTTGTCTGGAAAAATCCCAATCGCCCACACGAATACTGGTGGCGACGGACTCCCTTTCGTTAATTGAGGCGCTCCGCGTCGGCCCGTTGGCCGCGCGAGACTGTGCCACTGAAGCGATTTGAATTATCTTGCTTTCCTTGGTGAAGCGAGGCCACCACGTAGGCTTTATATTCTCCCCATCACAATGCGGTATTCCACGCGATGAGGCCGCTGACTAAGAAGCCACGATTGCGCGATACCTCCCGCAAGGGGCGTCCCAATCTGGCACGTGGACTTCCACACTGCAGTCAGGCGACTGTACTGGAAGGGGGCCCAGGAGGAAGAGGAAGGCGCACACACCGCACTCCAGGCGTTCGTCGGTGCAACAAAAAACACATCCCTGGTGCCCGGCCAAGCGTTGTGCCCAGAGGGGCGCCTCCGCGCACAGGCACGATGCTGCTCCTGCCCGCTCTTCGGTAGAATCGCAAGCGCCCTGCAGATCACAAGCGGCCCTCTGTTTCGGTAGCGCCGCCCCTACCACAATGAAGGGACGGATCCACCCCGACATCCTCCGGAACCTCCGCCTGTCGTGTCGACTGCGCCTTCTCGTCGAACGAAGAGCAGCAGCTTGTCGCCGTTCTGCCAAATCTGTGGCAGGGTCTTCTCGCCCGTGCAGAATATGAAGGCACACGCCCGACGCATTCACCCTAGCACTCCGCCCGTTGAGAAAGGACTCACATGCGGATTCTGCGACAGCTCCACGGCCCTC